GTAACTGCTGCATCCACTTGTTTGATTCTACTAATATGATTGTTTTACGGTGGATTGTACGCTCGAGGGTTGAAGCATCAACAGCACCAGCTCCTCATCTGCATCCCATCACCACCTTGGGGGAAGTTAGTCTCAGGGATGTGCCGGTTGCCCACCTTTTTATTGGAGGAATGGAAGTTTTAATGAGAAGTACATACATCCTATTACATTTTTAGCGAGTGCTGGAGTATTGTCGAGCTAAAATATTTAAGAGGGAGAAACCCCCACACACACCACTAATGCTGGAATAATATACTTCATGATTTATCAGTAATTAATAACTTTACTTTGAGGATATATGTTTTTGTTTTATTAGCTATTTTTGTGAACTGTAAACTTTTGAACTGTTTTCGATGGTAATGAATCATGTGACAAGGTAATGATATCATAAATGTACACTATAAATGAACCAAACATTGTGACTTGAGGATGTCGGCAGGTTTACATTAAACTAGGTTAAGTACTGGGCTGTGAGCTCTCTGACAGAGGCTCGTATATAGAGTGCTGCAGGGATGACGCATTTGTGTAGGCCAGCCTGGAAGTTAGCTTCGCACTGGTTCCTTAGACAGAAAGCCAATGGGATTCTTCCATTGGCTTTTTGGATTATTACATAAAATGAGCTCTGTTACTTGCACATTTTTGTTAAGCAATATAATCTTACACCACATGTAGCTCAGTGCTGCATGTGCACTTGTGTTCCCGTGTTCGTCGTGATGTTTTACAGTCTCGTTTAGCTACTAGATAGCGAGGGCCTTTTTTTAAGACACGTGAAAGCTTCAAAATTCACAACTCGGGTATTTAAACGTTACAATCACTCAACTTGTGTTGACCGCACACCTTATTTCGGGGATCCAACCAAAACCCCATTCACAAAAACCCTTTGAATTGGAGACGAGGGAAGTGGAAGTTTAGAGACTCATTCCTGCAGCTCTCTGTATCTCCGCTTCTCTGCAGATATGTCTGGGTTTTAATTTATGCTGACGGATGAGAGCTCCGTTTCTTTTATACCATTTCTCACACCTTTTATTTTTACCTCCACACCCTCAGCTCTACAGCACATTTTCTGTTCTACAATATGCTTGTCAATGTACAGACCTGTTCACCAGATAGAGTGTACAGCTTTCTGTATTTTGCACATTAATTGATTCTTTGGCTGCTTTGGAGCAGCAGCAACAAGCTCATTCACATTTAATCAGCTTATACAGATGTCATATAAATGTCAAACGTGGCGCAGAAGCAAACCTTTGCCTAAATAGACGTATTTACGTGTCCACCTGATGAATGCAAGTCCAATATCCACCCTCTTTCATCTCTGTCTTCAGGTAAATATGGAGCTGCTAAACGCTACGCTACGTTCACCAGCTTGCCATTAACTGTGTCTGTCTGCCGTTTGGAGTTGGACAGATATACTAGTGTGCAGTCTGAATATAAAAATGATTCTAGCTGCTTTTAATACCGTTTAAGGTTCTCACTTACTTAGTTTTCAGTTTATTTGTCCAGGTTTTGACTTATCCCTAACACAGAGGTTTGGTAATCGTATTTTGGGCTCAAAGTATTTAAAAAAAAATAGACATTTTAAAGAAATCAGCAGCAACCTCTGTTTCCTGAAACAGCATCCTGATGACTCTGGGTGAGAGATGCACCGAGAACCATTATTATATTAGATTAGATAACAATAGAGTACATTTATATTTATATATCTATATATATATAAATGTACTTATTTGTTATATCTTGTTTTACATCGTTAAGAAAGCATTGTTTAAGTCAAGCCTGATGTTGCCTTACACATAAAAGAATGACCCCAGTCTCTTCCACACAGTGAGACACAGCTTGTTAATTAAACACTGGTATCGTATCGGTACTCGCTATCGGCCGATACTCAAAGCCCAGGTATTTGTATCAGGACTTAAGAAGTCTAATCGGTGCAAGTCTACTCTGGGTAATCCACAAAACACACTGGGCACAGTTTTCTTTGGCACTACTTCTTAACAGAAGTTTTACCGAGTATGAAAAACTGTTCTCAGCCTGTCCTGTGGATTAAGTAGAGTAAAACACCGGGATGTGAGGGAAATTCCCTTTCCACTGCTGTGTGCAGCACAATTGAAATTGAATTCAACTCCATTTTAAATGCGTATAGACAGATATATCAAAGACGAATATCTGAAAACCTCGACAGGAAGAAAAACTGCTCTGCGTGACATGAATTTGTTTTGCAATTTGGATGAACTGGCCCTTTAAGGGAGGGAGTCTGTTAGTTACCTAATCCAGTGTGACAACATGTTGCTGCTTCCCAGCCCCATACGCTTGTTGCTCCACTTGCACCTGACATGCAAATCTACTCTAATTATCGAATAATGAACTGAGGAAATGTGAATTATGAGGAAATGTGATCCACAGCTGTCTTGTGACTGCATCTTATTTCTTTTCTCAGTCAGCTCCATGACTTTTTTGACCTGAAAAACGTATTAAAGCTCAATTGTGTGATTTGAAAACAAACAGGATTTTTTATTCATTCCCAGGTCTGGTTTTGGAGATCCATGGTCTTTAATAAAGGCTGTATACTGTCTGTTTGTGTGTGCAGAGAGAGAGAGACAGAGAGAGAGAGAGAGAGAGAGGGAGAGAGAGAGAGAGAG